CACGACTCATACAATTAAATCTCCTTTCTCGTAGTAACGAAGTTTTATAGTATGATATATATTCAAGGACTATAATACCTGTGAGTGACCGAAGGTTGGTATTAATCCGGACTTTTACAAAGAAAATAAGTTTTCAATAAGCTCATAAGCTCATTTCCAATACTTAATCCTATCCTTAAATTTATTGTCTTTTCCTTGAACTAGAACAGCAAGCCATATTTCTTTATTCAATATCTTTAAGTTTTTTTCCGCAAACATCTAAAGTTCCACATCCCAGCTACTGGAGGGTGTGTGTGGGGAAAACTCTTCGCTGAATACGTATAAATCTTAACTCCTTAAAATCAGTCACCAGTCAAATAAACACCGACATTGCAGCACACCTTTTGTTTAACTCCGTTAACGCTAAGGGAACGAATCCGGTGTTTTCTTGTTGACATGTTGAAGCATTAGTTTTGTCGCCTCTGTTGTCTGCCTCCACTATCGCTTATTGCTCTACATTATTTATTGTTTAATACTTTAGTATGCCGGGATATATGAGCTTTTGTCAGCTTTGCGATTACCTTAGGTTTATTTGTGTCTATGGGAGAGTGGGTGTGTGTGTGTGGGGGGGCTTCCAAGTATGAGCATTTTGTTTGCTAACCTTTGTCAGTCATCCTTAACCCCGGCAAAGGTCTCGAGTTTCCCCCGTGAGTTCTTCGGCTTTTTGGGCCCATGCCAATGTTTTATTTTTATTTCGTTTGTGTTGGTGGGTGTGTGGGGGAGACTTTAAGTTCAGTGATTCATTGTGTGACTAGCATGTTTGCTTGCTTCGTTCTTGTCGTTGTTGTTGTTGCTCCTGCTTTTTTTCCTACTGCTATTTGCTTTTGGTTCTTTGTCCTTTTGATTTTTGTTTATTTTTCCTAGAAAATGTTCACACGCATACAAACACACAACACCATTAGCAGACATATTTATGTGTGTGTGTGAGTGTGTGTTTGCCCCTTTTTTCTCCCATTCATCCATAGCTTTGTTCCTTAACACGAAATCCTTGCTAAGGCGACTTTGGATACCTTTTGCGGATGAGTTGTTTTCACGTGTTTCTGTGTGTGTGACTCTCTGTGTGGTGTTCTCTGCCTTTCTGAGGTTTGTGGCTGGTCACACATGTGTGTGTCTGTATTTATGGTTCGGCATTTGACTTATTGCCTCAGACACAATTATGAATGCTTAGACAGAGGCCAACAGCTCAACAGACTTTATGGGCTAGACACAATAGAATCTGGTTTTTTTTTTTTTTGCTGCTACCCTGCCTTACCCACAGCATTGACATTCATGATTTTTCGTTTTGAGTTTTCATTAGTTTTTCATTTGTCTACCCAAATATGATTAATTTGTCGGAATTTTATTGCTTTATTGTTTAATTGATGAATGTCAGTTTTTAGGGAATTTAATTAATCAAATTTTCTACTTCACAAACCATGACATAATTAAGGTTATTAATCGGGCATTTAACCTGTGAACTTGTGAAGACTCTAAGGTTGATGATGTTAACGTCTGAAATTTGATTATCGAAAATTGAAATGATTACTTGTTATAGTATGAAGGGTATATTATGTTCGTCATTGTTTGTAACTCATCCAAATAATAATTTTAGACATAAGGAATTATATATATTTTTGAAGAGCGTAAAATTCTAAGACGATTAAGCTCTGTCCGCCCGTCTGTTGTAATCACGCTGGAGTCAAAACGAATAAAGATAGGAAGCTAAAATTTTACACAGATCAGTATTTTGTCTGCAGGCAGTCCGTAGATGAGCTATATCCGACCATGATATCGTATAGCCCCCATATAACGCTACCCTTCGATATTGGGTATTTGAATGATTGTAACCAATTTCTTTCTTGAGGTTGTCTGAAAATCCACACAAGAAAGTCCTTCTGAGTACTTTGGAAGAGTATCTCCACACAATCGTATACAACGGTACATCCCCATATTCCGTATTTTGATGATTTCAGCTACATTTTTCAATGGAATCGTCTAAAAATTCCTTCTAAGCTCTTTACCCCCTGGAGGAGAAATGTATTTATAGGTCCACGATATCGTATAACCCACATATAACTATTTCTACCGATATTTGATATTTTGACGATTTTATGGACATTATTCACCGAAGTTGTTTCAAATTTCGTATTTAGAATTCCTAATGGGTCCACAGTCTATTACAGAAAATTGCGTATGCAAGCCCACGTCTCCCTATAACCTCCACATAAGGGTACCACCCAATATTCAGTATTTTGATAATTATTCATTATTCACCGGAGTTGTTTCAAATTTGGTATTATAATGGGAACTACAGTTTATGATGGGTACCTCTGCCCATGACAGAAGATTGTCTGTGCAGGTCCAGGTCTTCGCATAGCCCCGATATGACCTCCCTATAATCGGTATGTGGATAATTTTAGCTACATTATTCATATGATTTTTTCAAATTTCGTATTTGAATATTATAATTTTTTATGACAAAAGTTGCCTATGCAGGTCCACGTCTTCGTATAAACCCCAATATAACGGCTACATTCGACATTTTTAAGATTTTAATAGAATTTTTAGCGGATTTTCTTTTTCTGAAAATTTACATATTCGCTCCATATGGTGGAGGGTATTCAAAGTTCGGGCCGAACTTGCTGCTTTTTTTACTTGTTTATCTCACACTAGCAAGTGCCCGCTCCTTTATCAGCAAAAAGTCCACCTTAAAATTTTGATTGGTTCCACGACTTCGTGTTAGGTCTTTTTAGTACTCAGTAGCTTCATACATAAATTTCAGACTTACAAGAATTTTTTATATTATTCAAGTTTTTCCCTTTTTGGAGAGAATAATGGTAGAAATGTTATCTTTTACACAAAAAAGTCTTCAAAATCATTCACTTTTAAGTTGAACGAGTAGGATATTGGTAAAACCATTGCAGAATGGACCCACATCCATTTTTCTGTTCGAAACTAATTCAACGTCCCTATATGTAAGCCCAAAACTTAAATAAAAAAAACTGCAACTAAATCAAACGCCATAATTTTTACAACTTTTTTTAAATTTAATTAAATGAAAGCAAAATATGTCGGAAAAAGCGTCAAATTTTAGAATAAGTTTAGATTTGTTCGAATTGGTCATCTTTGGCACGAATTATGGCCTTCAAACGGTCAATGAAACCCCCACACGCTGTCCGAATGTTGCTCTGCGGTTTTTTGGCCCATTCCCGGCGAACCGCTTGCTTGAGGTGATTGACACTTTGGTATTCTTTAGTGCCAACCTTGCTTTCCAAAATACTCCAGACACAATATTTCAACGGATTGGTATCCGAAGATTTTGGTGGCCATTGTGCGCTGGAAATGGAGCAATGGAGCCTCATTTTGTAATCATTCATGGGTGGCGAGTGCTGAGTCCTATTGGAATGTCCAAAGTCTGCGACCAAAATGTTTGCGTGCCCAAGGCTTTAATACACCCTCCAGAATATTTTCGCGGCATTTATTATGATGCCACGGTCGATTAAGAGGAGCGGAGAACGACCATCGGCTGTTATGGCGGCCATACCAACACCATGGCCGGCGCTTGAGTTCTGGTGGCCAACCGAAGGTGCACATTTTAAGCCGACCTTTTTGGCAAGTAAACACGATCATTTTGTTTGCTTACAAACTGCTGGACAACGAATGTTTTCTCGTTGGAGCGGAGAAACCCAAATTCAACAGTTCACCACTTTCGGCCAAGCGAAGCAACTCTTTAGCCCTTTTGAGTTTATTTTCTTGCTGTTGCGGTGTAAATTCTTGCGCTTTTTGGAATATCAATGGCTTTACCCGGAGCTCTTTTTTCAATATTTGCCAAATGGAATATTGCAATATGTTCCGCTCTCCAGCCATTCTTCGGCCACTGCGACGCGGGTTTCGATCAAGTCGCTTCTTTACTTTTTGAACCATTTCCGCTGATGTTGCTATTTTCTTCCGTCCACTTCCTTGCCGTCGGGCTAGTATAACGGTAACAAGCGATGGTACGAGACACCAAAGATTTATTCACATTTAAATGCTGGAGTGCCCTAACGATAGCCACATGTGGTTTTCCATCCAAATATAAAGACAATACACTTTCACGCTTGAATTCCATCACGAATAACTTTTTTTCTGGAAAAATCTCACCGAAATGCTTTTGTACGCTTGTAAACAATATGATGAGCTGTCACTGGAATAATTTTAACAGCTGTCGGACGAGTGGCTTAGAAATGATAGCAGTCTGAAGTTGGTTGCAGTTTTTTCCATCTTACCCTGTACATGAGTACACAATATCAAAACTATCTCTTTACATCGACTCTACTGCTCAACCTTGATTCCGATTTCAAATTTAATGTTTTTAGCTCTAATCGTTCACATGACCAAGTTTAGTACTGCGAATTTCCAAAACCCTTTGGTACATCTACCATACACGCCATCAGTGACCCTCATTCCAAATTTAAGATTTCCGCCTCTACTGTAAGGGTGCCATTTTTAGAACCTTTCAATGCTTTTCGTACCGTCCTAGTTCGAATTTCCAAAAACCAGCCTTATCTGACCCCTTGGGATCAAGAGCCCAAATGTGGAACAGTTATCATGTACACCATCTGTGTCTGATTTAAATTTAAGATTTCTAGCTCTACTACTTCCCAAAGTGCAAATGGTACCTTATTTGGTACCTTTTAGTAATTTTCGTACCGTTCTAGCACGAATTTCCAAAAACCCAGCCTTGTCTGACCCCTTCGGATCAAGAGTGACGCTCATCCAAAATTTCTAGATTCTAGCTTTAGTCATCTTGTCGGCGCGTTGATGAATCTTTAAGTCAGTCAATGACTTTACTCTTTTATAAATATAGATGTCCATGTTCGCTGAAAATTAGTCAAACTGATGCTAAAGGTAATTCGGATATTCTCACCGCAATGGAGGTAAATTTTCCTCTCCAAGGTATTTTCCCTCCCTCTCATTTCATCTGCTTCCCTCCCTTCACTCACCTGTTGCTTTGTTATATAAATTGGTTTATTCTGGACAATCCATGTCACGGTTTCGTGACAGGCAGGTGCTGTTGTTGAACCATCATACGTCATATAATGATCCGTTTCAGGCAGTAGGCCACGTATTGACAGGCGTTTAACGAACGCTTCATCGCCGCCATAACGGATGCGATCCAATTGATCTGTCAGCATTCGAAGTTCTGGATTTGATAAATCACCCAACTGAAAGGGAAGAAGAAAAAGAAAGAAATCAAAACCCTTGACACCCACTGACCTCACCGAGTCTGGCTAACTTACCTGCAACAGTATGGAGACACCAACAATGCCCTGGGCTCGATTTAATGCCTCCGAAAAGTTGTTGTACAATTGTGAATTATAACCAAATATTTGTATCTGTAATAATGAAAGGAAGAGAGAAAACGGGTGGAGAAAGTGTAAGTAAACAAGATATTGAAAAGCTACATAGCACACATATGTTGATGTACATATATTTACATATGCACTTGTAATGGGATTTACTTGACAATAACAGAAGTTCGACATAAAAAATAAATGGAAGAAAGAGAAAATCGATTTTATTTCATACACATAAAATCCAATGTTGCAAATGAAAAAATCCCTCAGATTTTATGTTGGATATGTTGACATTTTGTCCATCTTCAGTTTCAGAGGAACCTTCGTTTTGTTTCCCTATCTTATTTGAAATATTGGTATGCAGATTGGGTATTATAAAAAAAAAATAACATGTAATATTTGTGTTGTTTTTTGTCGGCAGAAAATATATATATTTTAATTTATAATAACATAATGCTGAAAGATTTATAAAAGTATATCTTTTGAGGTGAATATTAAGATGGAGAGAGAATAAATATATTTCTATTATATATGATGGGATATTTTATTTAAAATTAATCTTGTATCCACAAATAATTCAAAACATTAGAATATTCTAATATTTTGTAATATTAAAATTTAATAATAAAGTAAACAATTAAGCAAAGTCCCCTTATATCCAAATCCATTTTGGAAGATTTCGTTTTTGAAATAAAGTCAAAGAGCCCCGCCCAGAGGTTGCCCTTAATTTTTTGGCCCGGAGAATTTGGCAAAAGTTGTGAAAGTTGTTGTCCATTTTACAGCTAAACGTCATCCAATGGTCATCCAAAACGATAGGCTTCTTCCTTGTCTTTAACTCTCTTCCGATGCGAAATTCCGTGTCGATTCGTTTTCAATTGTGGCCTATAGAGCGACTACAAAATTAGAAAAACTTAAATTTTTTTTAGTCCATTTGCATCTCTAAATGTACATCTTAAGAACAATAGGCTTTAATTCTGACCCTAACCCAACCCCTATGCCAAATTTCGTGAGGATCGGACGATAATTGCGACATGCATATAATACCCTCTAAACGTAGTGTTGAAGGGTGTTAACATTTAGAAAATTTACAATTCAAAATTTTAAGTCAAATTGAAAAAATCGCATGCGATAAAAAATATGACAAAAATTGAAAAAATTCGACAAAAGATATTCACTTTTTTATTGGTATATTTTTCCGCGATTTTCTTAGATTTTCTGCTCTTCTGGTAAAAGGCCATTACGAATTGATGGGAATTGTGAAAATCGGCCCAGCGCTTTTTGATTTATAAGCAGAATAAATAAGAGCAATTCATTTACATACATATTGTACCTATTTTGCTATATATCCGATTTCTTGGCTATTAGCATCACTGTAATGGTCAGAAGTGATCTTTTAATGTATTTGTGATTTGGCTCGGGATAAAATATTCGCGGTTTAGTGGACATTTTCCAATTTTCTTACATAAATGTTAGGGTCTATTTTACCCGCTAATTATTGTCCGATGGCCGCCCAAATTGGTAGGTTTATGCCCACTCCTAAACTCTAACTGACCTATAGAGCAACTACAAAATTAAAAAATTTTTCTGTTTTTGGTCCATTTCAACCCCTAAATATCGTGCGATTATCTCCAAAAGAAATAGGGTTCTATTCTGACCCTAACCCCACCTCCATTTTCAATTTCGTGAGGATCGGTTCATAATTGCGACCTGTAGCTTGATTACAAATTAACATGGACAGACGGACAGACGGACGGACGGACATATATAGCTAGATCGACTCAGCTCGGCGAGCTAGGAAGACCCATATATACTTTCCTATGTGGTAAACCAATATTTCGAGATGTTACATAATTTTTGGCCCAATCAAACTTATAATACCCCAACACATAGTGTTGTAGGGTATAAAAACTCAGCTAATTTCAATAATTCCTAGGTAAAACAGCTCCAAACAAAAACTAAGGATAGCAGGCTCTGTCTCAAACTATCGCCTCTACTGCCCTACCAAATACCTGATATAAACTTCATTCAAATTTTACGATGAGCAAAGTTTTGATTTGGACGTGCGGCAAATTAGTTTAACTTGTGAACCCGATACCATAGTACGATATATTCCATCTCCACATTAGCAAATATATTGGATTGTGGGAAAGGTAAACAATATCGGGCACTAGTTTAACATTTCATCAAATTTATCATGTCGTATGGCCCCCATACAACCGTACCCCCCATATTGGCCCCCATACAACCGTACCCCCTCTGGAAGAGAATTGTTCATATAGGATTACGACATCGTATAGCCCCTGTATAACGGTACCCCCGATATTCGATATTTGGCTATTTTAGGGACGTCATACACCGGAGTTGTTTCAAATTGCGTACCTAGAATTCGTAATGGGTACTACAGCCTATGACAAAAAATTACTTATGTAGGTCCACGTCTTGGTATAGCCTCCATATAATGGTACTTCCAATATTCGGAGTTGTTTCAAATTTTGTATTTAGAGTTCGTAATGGGAACTACAGTCTATGACAGAAAATTGTTTATGAAGGTCCAGGCCGTCGTACAAGCTCCATATATCAGTACCACCTTATATTCGGTATTTTGATGATTTTAGCTACATTATTCAGCGATTTTTTTCAAGTTTCGTATTTCAATATATTAATAGCCCCAATATAACGGCTATTCGGTATTTTTAAGATTTTAACAGAATTTTTGGCGAATGTTTTTTATTTATTTCTTATTTTATTTATTTATTTATTATTATTATTATTATTATTATTATTATTTTTTTTGAAAAATTTAGTTCCAAATGTTAGAGAGTATTCAAAGTTCGTACTGCTTTTTTACTTGTTTTTATTTGACTTGGAATATTTTATTCCACATAGTGTTCTAACTATGTGTTATGGTCGCAATTGTGGTCCGATCTTCACAAAATTTTGCATTGGGGTAGGGTTTGGATAAGAATAGAAGACCTACCGTTTTGGAAGATTTTTTAAAAACATCTAGGGTTTAAAATGGAACTAAAACCTAAAAAAATTTCCGTATTTGGCAGTCACCCTAAAGTTCTCAACTAAGGACCAATAGATATGGAATCTTTATAACTTACATTACATGGTGGAAAGGGTATTGTCTTTGTGCATTTGTTTGTAACATGGAGAAGAATGCGAGATAGACCAAAGTCACTTTTGAAGATTTTCATAGAATCACTTTCTTAGTCGATTTCGGAATGTCAGTCCGTCCGTCCTTTCGTCTGTCCATGTATTATTGTGAACAAAATGCAGGTCGCACTTTTTTTCCGATTGATATGAAATTTTTCAAAAAAAATATTAGTTTAGACCAAGTACGAGCCCTATTGAAATTGGTGAGAGTCGGTTCAAATTTAGATATAGCTCCCACAAATATCTTCAACCAATTTCGGGTTAATTGTGCATCAAATGAATTTCGACACATCCGACCGAATAAAATCTTCAAGAAAGTACATTAACTTTAGTGAAAATCGGTTGAGAAGTAGCTATAGCTCCCATATACAGGGTGAGATAAAAAAACTGCAACAAAGTCAAAAGTCATAATTTTTACATTTTAGTGAAGAAAGCAAAAAATGTCGGCAATAGCATCGAATTTTAGAATAAGTTTAGATTTTTTTCGAATTGGTCACCTTTGCTAAGAATTATGGCCTTCAAACGGCCAATGAAACCGTCACACGCTGCGCGAATGTTACTCCGCGGTATTTTTCAAAATTTGCCGAATAGAATATTGAGATTTGTTCAGCTCACGAGCCAATGGGACGCGGGTTTCAATCAAGTCGCTTCTTTACTTTTCGAACCGTTTCTGCTGATTTTGGTGTTTTCTTCCGTCCTCTTCCTTGACTTCGGGCTACGCTAGCAGTATCATGGTAACAAGCGATGGTACGAGACATAAAATATTTATTCACATTTAAATACTGTAGTGGTATAACGATAGCCACTTGTGGTTTTCCAGCTAAATATAAAGAAATCACACTATCACGCTTGAATTCCGTCACGAATATTTTTTTCTGGAAAATTCTCATCAAAATGCTTTTGTACGCTTGCAAACAATATATTGAGCTGTCAATGGAATGGTTTTTAACAACTGACAGATGAGTGGCTTAGAAATGACAGCAGTCTGAAGTTGGTTGCAGTTTTTTCATCTCACCCTGTAAATACCTTTCGTACCGATCTGAACTTGTTTCTAAACCCATCTTATTTAAACGTTACACACTTATATTGACCCTAATACCAAAAAATTTATATTAAACCAATTTCTACACTATATGCCAAATTTAGTACCATTTGGTACGATTTGTACACTAAATATACGCATTTTCCAAGCTAACTCTTTCATAGTTCCCAATATTAATTGCCATATTAAATTTCAGGAATTAACCTCAAGTCGTTAAAAAAAACATCATGTTACAAAATTATCAAATTTTAGTACCTTTCGTACACTTAACGTTCGAATTTCAAAACAACCTCTTGGTACATCTATTTTACACACCACCAATGGTACCATATCTAGGGCGTTTAGGACTTTCCTTACTTTTTAGTACGATTTTTTAAAATGTTACCCGTGCACCTAGCAATCACTTACTCTCGACAGTGCCATAATTGGTACCTCTTTAAAATTTTACAAGCCTTTTAGGACAATTTCGAACGAAACAAGCCCTACCATGCAACGTTCTTTCTTAATTGTGAATTGAAAAAAATGTTCCAATGCCTTACTGGTACCGAAAAGTTGGTTTAAAAAACGGATATTCAAGTAAGATATTTAAAAGAAAGTCTCGAATCATGAATATAATTTTTTGTCCCAAAATATAAGTTGCTCCTCTCGTATAGAATATATTCCGGCAATCGACCATACAATCTATCTACCTTCATTGAAATATGTTATTCTTGCTCTCCATAAATTTCCGGAAAATAATGCAAAGTATCAACAAATACAACGAGGATAAACAAACGAACATATAAGCAAACATTTTCCTACGCACACACACATACACTCGCACTCACAATGTTCGATA